TGACTTACCCATCAGTGCAGTGAGCAGCGGTAACAACCCAGTTGGCAGAAATGATGGAACCACCACAAATGTGCGAGCTGTAGTACTGAAGGGAAACTTGCCATGGTACTGAGCTGATGGAAATAGCGGAACCTCCTATGATTCTGCCATCGGGAAGAAGGCTGTTCTTCGTACGAAGGTAAGGTGGTACCGCTGGAATATGAATAAAATGAAGTTATAATTTGGAAAATAAAATGGATGCTATTTACCTGAAGCGGATGCTACTAGAAGTACTACAAACACAAACGAGTTCATGATTGCGAATGCTTACTCGGTGCTCTTGCGTAGATTTTATAGTAAAAAAGGTGATCACATTTTTAATTCGGTAAAGTTTAGATATGATTGTTAGGTTTTAAATCATTATAAACATTTCAAAATAGTCTCGCCAGACATAATTAAGTAATCTATGGGAATTCGATAAAATTTATTTCGCTTTAAATCATAAAATAATGTATCTAAGTTGTTCCAACTTTTGACAGTGGGCACTAGAAATATTAGATAATTACAAAATGAACAAAATGAGAGGGATTTATAACAAATATTTTTCAAGACTACTTAATACTGTAAGCTTTTGGGATTAACAATTACTTAAGGGGTTTTAGTTGTGAACAAAAGGATATGATTTCTGAAATATTTTACCAATACTGCTTTAAACCAACCTGAATCTGTTACTATATAGGTATTACTTATTTTGATTGTTGTGATGTCCTCGTTCCTTTGGCAATGTCATTTTTCTTGGAAGGTTTTTGCTAGATACCTAATCGGTTACTCCTAGATCCACACCTTTTAAGATGAACGATCTTTTGATCCGACTGTGGTGCTGAATTTTTTGATTTGTTTTGAGAATAATCTATGCATGTTATGTACATATGTTTCTTACTGAGTATTCACACAATTAATTATAATTACCATTCTGTTTAAGGCTTTTTTCGAAAAATCCGGATTTATTGTATTGCACTTTAGAGGCAGAGGAAGTTCTGTCGGACTAACCTTTAACCAATTTCTCAATTCCCCAGCATACGCTAACTAAATATTATAATCCATCGGGCGAATGGCTACTTTTATGTTTCCACAACGTTTCATGACCCTCAGAATACGAAAACATAGGTCTGTATGCCGTATGCTGTTTGCCGTCTGTCGTTTGCTACCTGTCCGCGTCTGTGTCGATTTTTATTAAACAGATAATCTTCTAAGCTACCACACCGATTGTTGTCAAATTTTATCTGCATATTATGAATATCGTGTAGATGATAAAACGCTGACCAAAAATTTTTTAATCATCACCACCAATAATAATATGACGTCATTTCCAACTTTTACAATAGTAAACGTTATTTAAATAATATACTCATCCACTTGCAGTTTATGAACCCATGTTTAGTTTTTACGCTAGGCATCCAAATTTTTGTAAAAAAAATCAAAATTGTACACAACATTTTACAATTTAACTTTCAAATTGCAAAACCGAATGCTCTGAAATCTTGCAAACGTTTTAAGGATATCGGAAACATGGGAAATCGCTAATGAAAATGTATCCGTTTGCGACCCCTAAAAACTGATAACGTCATCTAGCACACTCCTACAAACGTGATTTATGAATTCTTCTTGAGTCATTACCCAGACATGCAGAGTTTTGGAAGTAAACATTAAAATTGTGTAACATTTTGCAATCTAATTTTGAAACTGTAAAACCGTATGCTTTGGAATCTTGCAAACGTTTTACGGTTATCGTAAGCATAGTAAATCGTTAATCAAAATTCATCCTTTTATCCCCTCTCAAAATTTTACCGAATAAATCTAAGCGACCAATTTTTATATACCTGCTTCGTTATAAATATGAATGCTTTGAACCTTTTGCTGAATTTCTCGACACAAACGTTGTTTGTGATATGATATGATTTATAAGGGATGTGGCATCCTAGTTTGGACATAGGAAATTAACATGGGGAACTAGTTTTTAAATTATAATATCTCCCCAGATCACTTTAAAGCTATTACTGAGTGATGCATTTGTGGAGGTAAAGGAGGGCTATCGGCCAGTACTTTTAAAAATCGTATTTTGAAATTTACGCTCGGTCCAATTTGTCGCAAAACGTTCCGTCGCAGTTCGTCGATCGCGTCTTTGGGCTAGCTATGGAAAATCGAAATGTCAAAGTGAATTTAGCGGTTTTCCTCTTTTCTCACTCAGAAATCACTGAACAATTCAAATTGAATTACTTTATTAAATGCAATAAATGCACACAAATTGGTCCATTTATTTGTGCTAGATGCAGCACATGAATTCCTTCACGAAACTCCTGGTCATGGTGCGCGACCCCGTCCAGCGTACATCCAGGGCGTATTCAAGAAGCACGAGGTGAAGCTCTTCGAGCAGCTCCCTTGGCAGCATTATGACATGTTCTGGGAGGTTCGTCAAGCTAAGGATTTAGTCGCACTACCTCACTCCAGTAATCACTGAATAACTCAACAATGTTTTACCATGTTATGGTGCCAGTGCCGGTCGAGTTTTTATCACTAAAATCTCATTGAAATGAGATTAGATGAAAAAGTATGCATTTTGCTTAGAATTCTGACTTTACTTATATGTATATGTAACAAGATAAACACATATGGTGATTCATTTAAAACAAAAGAGAGAATCTACTATTTTAAAAATAAAAATCCTCCTGTGTGTTCCAGATCACCACTTTTACGATTTCCATAATTTCAAGGAGGGGATTTTATTTTACAACGGCACTGTGAGGTTATTTACTACCACGATTAGTAAGATAATAAAAATTAAAAAAATTTCTTTTAATAATTCAAATAATGAAAATTTCACCACTGCTCCAGTGCTCCTGTCGAATGGAAAACTGATATTCATTTCTAAGCATCCGATCTCGTCTGATGTATTTTAAGTTTATCACAGTCCTTATCAGGCTAGATCCTAAATTCGTATCACTATCATCTTGATAATGATTTACACCTACATGTACCAGGTACTCCCTGGTAAACATGGTATTAACTTGTTGTAACTCACGTGTTTAACACAATAAGTGGCTTAATACGATAAATCACTTATTATTGTTATCACTTAATTCGAATCATCTGGTGTCTTGTTTTATTAGTATTAGTGGATAATTTAGAGCAGAGATTACTATTATGCTCCCGCAGGTATTAATTTAAAATAGAATTACACATTTTTGGTAGGTATACTGTTCACCATGTACATACAGTACCTTTCTTGACTATGAGGATTTACATGCTAAATATTTTGGGTTATGTTAATTATTTTTCTAGGACGGATTTTCAAGTGAGATTTGGCAGAATATTAGACTAGTATTTTGTAAAAACAACTTTAGTTTATTTTGTCGTACATGATTTAGATATCGAATTTATTTTCTCGAACTTTTTTCATAAGCTATGTATCACAAATGCTTACTGCAAAGGCAACATACTTTCGTTAGAGGGCGTTAAACTAGGACAAACCTTATTTCCATTACTAAGTTGCTATGGGATGCACTGGATAATCAACATCAAGTTGACGTTGACTATACCGGTTTATTGAAGTTATTCGATAAAATTGGCCATCAACCTTTACTTCAAAAATTAGAATTCTTTGGGTTTTCGGATCCCCTAATTTCATTATTAAGTTCATATTTAGACAATCGGTATCTGTTCGTCAAGATCTATGGCTTCAAGTCGGAATTGTTCAAATAAGAAACTGCTTTCCTGTTCCCCAGGGTTCGGATTTCTTTGTTGTTTGATATGTGTACATATGTATTAATGATAGGTATCTGGAGGTTATAAATGCACTGCTCTTTAGTTTGCAGACGATGTTAATACTCAGGAGTGTAATATTACTGATTTACAAAAATGTCTCAATGCAGTTTTTGTATGGTGCGTAAAAAATTACTTCATGCTGAATAAATTTAAATGCTAGGTGATGACGTTTGCGAAAGAAGAAATACCTAGTTACTATTTCGATAACACTATTCTAACTAGACTAGAAGTACGTAATACGTGACCTTGGTGTAAACTATGATCCAAAACTCCCATTCCATTTTCACATTCAGTCAATAACAATAAATCTTTAGGGTTTTCCATTCGAAATGGACGTGAGTTTGGAGACGTTGAGGCGTTAAAAACATTATATTTCACCTTTTGTAGATCTCCCTTTGAAAACCCTACCCTTCTGCAGTATGGTCCCGATATAGAGCATCCATATTTCTTCTTTAGAGACGGCATTTATCCACCCAGAGGCTATTATCAAGAATCACTCCTTACCAGATTTGTCATGTCTTCCTTATTGAAAAGGCGTTTTAAGCATTCAGCGACACTATTGTTTAAAATTCTCAGAGTAACCCAAGATTGTGAGACTCCCTTGCAAAATATCTCCCTAAAGGTCAATAAACTAATATGCATAAAAAACACCAGACGAATCTTCTTGTGCAGATGCTTTGAAACTACCTATATGGATATAGAAAATCATGTCAAATTCCAATTTTCTAGTTACTGCGTCCTGTGTCTTGTAATTGGCTTGTTTTGTCGGTTGGACAGTGTTCTTAATAATAACAACATTAATAATAATAAGTGGGGAATGAGCTTGAATGAACTGAGGGGCCAAGGTGGAAATCTTCGGATAGCTATTGTAGACATTAGTTATCTAAGTTAGGAAAATTAATGACAATACGGGCTGATGAAGGCTATGGCCGAAACCGGTATCTGCAATAAAAAACATTGATATTTTGTGGGAAGAAGAGTATTTGTATAATACCCACCGGGGCTAAAATATTTTATATTATTTCTTTGCTAAAGTTTATTGAATTTTTTGTACAGCTTTTCACTTGGACTATTAGTTAAAATTAATGTTTTCATTTATTTCTTCTGTGTTTTCTTTTTTGACCATTTTTCCAAGTGTTGAACTGTTACCTCATTGTCTGTTTTTTGTTTATAGTTCATATGTAAATAAAAAACCTTAATTTTTATATTAACGATTTATTTAATTACAATACTGTCACAATTCCGATAAATCCCAAGCAACTAATCTCTTTTTATATTCCAGCAGTTTGTTGGATGTAGCTGCGAAGAGCAGGTACGTTAGAGTATACACCAGGGTAGTTAGGTCTGGCACATCCGTATCCCCATGAGACAATTCCAGCAAGAGTGCTACCAACAACCAATGGGCCACCAGAGTCTCCTTGGCAGGCGTCTTTGCCACCACCGGTGACACCAGCGCACAACATACGATCGGTGATGCTGCCAGAACCGTAAGCAGAGCTGCAAGACGATTGGCTGACGATTTGTACGGTGACTCCTTGCAAAGCGCTAGGGAGAGAGCTAGATCCTTCAGAAGTGGTACCCCAACCAGTTACGAGAGACGAAGTACCAGCGGACCAGCTTGTGCTAGCTGATGGAAGGCCGACTGCGGCGACGTTGCTGTTCAGAGTCAAAGCGGAAGACAGTTGCAAAACAGAAATATCGTAATCGATCAGTCTGTCGTTGTAGCTGGGGTTTTGGTAAATTCTAGCGACGTTAACGACTTGACCGCCGGATCCGCGAGTCGATGTACCGGCACGGATGGACAGCTGGCTGGCAGAAGATCTGCAAAGTCGCAAAGAGGTTATTAAAAATTTCCAATGGTAAATTAAAATGACATACCCATCAGTGCAGTGAGCAGCGGTAACAACCCAGTTAGCAGAAATGATAGAACCACCACAAATGTGGGAGCTGTAGTATTGAAGGGAAACTTGCCATGGTACTGAGCTGATGGAAATAGCGGAACCTCCTATGATTCTGCCATCAGGAAGAAGGCTGTTCTTCGTGCGAAGGTAAGGTGGTACCGCTGTTAAAAGAATAAGTAAGTACTTAAGGTTGCCACCGAAGTAAGGCACTTACCTGAGGCGGACGCTACAAGGAATACGACAAACAAGATCGATTTCATTGTGGTAAGTGATGCTTTTTCCTCTGCCTTGTAGGCTTTTTATAGTGATCTGTTTCGGCATGCTCTTAGTAATTTTAATGCAGTTGAGACTTTCCTGATAATGTCAACGCCTAAGCTATCTATAAATTTCAAAATCACCAGATCATGTGTAATAGTGAGGTGTTTATCGCAAAGATTTAGGCGCTTTCTTAAAGTGTGAATAAAATTTTACGAAACAATGAAACTTTTATATGTTTTTGTTTTTCAAAAATACTCATTCAAGAAAAATGAACCCCATTTTCTTAGTAAAATGTACGTGAACAAAATTTGCATGGAATACAGTTCATTTTTTCTTTTTTTCGTGACTGTTGGATAAAACATTTAAAAATATTTACAATAAAATACACATTTTAATATGATTCAATTTCTTTTTGTGAATTTTTTTTCAAACATATTTTGCACAATATAAAGATGAAAACTTTCAAATCATATGACAAAAACAAAAATCTTTAATCTCCCATATTCGACTCGTTATTTATGATGGATAAAATAATTACTGTTATCTTGTTCAAAAAGATTTACACTACTTTAGACTAGTATGTCCTTGAAATTTGGTCGTAAAACAATTACATATATTAATTAGATATTCTATAGCTTTCATAGTCACCAAAGTATTAAATATTGTAATCATACTTTGTTAACACAAATACGTTTCCTCTATGCTTCTAATTGAAAACTGTCTAAATTATTGAATTTGAATTGAACTGAATTAGCATTTAATTCTTGAATACTTGTACATATACAATAATCTTTTAGTATTTTTATCACATTTTTAAAATTTCGTCAATTCTTTGCTTAAACTACAAAGGTAATTTTATTTATGTTATTTTTACCATCATAAACTTTTGTGTGTTACGAATTTGCAACCAGTTCTTTGAGCTCCCTCCACACACGTGTTGTATTAATGTTATTCATAAAATGCAAACATAAACGTCAAGTAAAATTTGCATGTCTAATGATAGGACACGTAATCGCGAATATGTATTACGTTCAATAACAAAACAGAAGTACTTTAGCTTACAGAACAATTTTGATTTTAAGCCTTTGCAAAAGCAATTAATCAATAAAATAATAGAAAAAGAAAACATAAGTAAATAAAAAAATAGAAGGTTTAAGCGTAGAAAAACTATGCTTTCACTCAAGTTACCAAAACTGAATCTACTGTTGAGGTAAGTAGTATTAAATATTTATTCAGATAATATTATAACTTAGTTGTAACAGAACACTGTCGACGAAAAAAAGCACCGTAGATCCCAAACAAATGGAATATTTTAATGAAATATCAGAAGTGTGGTGGGATAAGCAAGGTGTTCTCAAAATATTACATGAAATGAATGATTTAAGAATCCCATGGATCCAAAATCGCCTGCGTGAAATTGACATATTGAAACCTAATTCAAATCAAGCTAAACCTTTGGAAGGTTTAACTATTTTGGATGTAGGCTGTGGCGGTACGTATAATAATATGTGTTTAACATTAAAAAAATAATAAAGCCTAACACTCGTTTTATCATATGGGCGTTTATTCTTCGTTAAAAAAAAAGATAATGTTCTCATATTTACATAAATTACTGGTAAGCTCTAAAGTTTTAAAAATATTACATAGTTCAATAAACTGACAAAGGCTACAGTTTTCGCAGTAAATTAGGATTGAGTACGAACAACGTTCAAGTTTTAGAAAATGCGTATAAAATAAATATTTAGATAAATCAATTATCCATCAATGTAGATCATCACCTTTAAAAATGAGTAGATATATATTTTTTATAGGTATTCATTTTTGTCTAGTAATAAATTATTGAGAGATGAAATAAGGTTTACAATTCTATAAATCAGCTTGTTTTCTCTTGATATTACTGTTATTTTTTTTATAAACGAAAATTATTCAATTGCACTACGTACTGCATTTCATTATTTGGTTTTGGTACTGAAGGTCTTACTTAAATGTTGATCATTTCCGGAGTAGTGGGGAATCTTTAACAATAAGTACACAGATTCATGAATATTAACAGCAAATTTGTAGCGTAACTGCAGAAATTAACATTAATTTAAAAAAAAAAAATGAATAACTAAAATTACTACTTATTATTACATACATGATGAGAAATTGAAGAAAAAAATGTTCCTCCTAGCTATAAAATGCATCGTTATTAGTGTTATTACCTAGTAAAATATTATAAAATTTAACCATAAAATACTTGGATTACGAGACAGATTAATTCTGAAGAAGTCTAGTCGTATCAGATAAGACCATCTAATCTTGACACACATGATTAGTGATCTCATGTTCCGAGATATGAACATAAACGAAAAATAAATATTTCAGCTTATACTGGATGTACATAAATTCAGTTCCATCAAATCACACAGCTTAAGAAGAGCGTTGTGCGCCAGTTTTACCACTTGACCAACTGTTGACTAAAAACCCGAGAAGCGCTGCCCCGCTGCTGGTCAGTTACTAAAAATATCGGTTAATGCCCAAATGACGCTGGTCAGTTATTAAAAATATCGGTTAATGCCCAAATGATCTATTACAAATTATTTGTATTGTGCAGAAATAAGTTTTTGCTATATTTTTCGTACTGCTGAAATTTATTCCTCAGTCCATACACAAGAGTAAATTTATGAACGCAGCGATTCGTTTTTGTTTTTGATTACCCATAATTCTTTCAGTGCCATACTTAAACAGTTGGATAAAATTTCTTGGAACAAATATCTTAATAAACCTGTAAATGTGTTCTCTTTAAATAAAAAACGTCCTGCATTTGCTTTTGTTATTATTTTCTTATGCAAAGAAATAAGATATTAAATAAAAGTTTGCGATGGTGGGCAACACAATTTTTTTTTCCATTTCGTTGTTTGTTATACAGCTCGGTTGCTTTATTATAGGTGGGGTCCTGAACATTAATATCACTTTAGGTAAACAATTATTTATTACGTTTAGATTTAATAATTTTAAGAACGCTGAAATTACAGCAATTCTTTTGAGTGAGTAAAAAGTAAATCAGTTATAAAACATTTCATAAAAAAAATCGAGTCCATCGGGCAATTGGCTACTTTCATGTTTTCGCGACGTTTCACGACCCCTTGAGAACGAAGGCCTAGGTCTCTCGTTTACGTCTGTTTGTCTACCTGTTTGTCTGTCTGTATTTTGTGTTAGAAAAGACTGATTATACGTAAATTTTAATATGTAACTGAGTCGTAAGTAATACTTTTAAATGAATGTGATTCCAACAAGGGTCATGCCATATTTATTTAAGAAAACACTAAAATAAGTGCATATTTTGCGACGCTTCGTAAAGACGAACCATCCTAAATACTGAACTACCTTAGTTATTATCAAAGTTCGGCACAGTCGAAGTGACAGGCAATCAATCAGACAAATATTAAAAACGACGGCGCAGCAGTCTCAACCTCAGTGGCGTTTGATGCAATTCAGGGTTTATCTGATTAAGATCATCACGAAAATTGTGATGTTGAACAGTCATTTTTAATTTTTAAAGCATTTTAACATCTAGGAGAACTCGTATAACAGAGCAAAACCTAGAAAAAGTAGTAATTGTTATTAAAGATTCCCGAAGTAATTGTACGTCACGACTGCAATAGCATTGGCGATCGGACGGCAATGAGCGTTCATTTCCGCGATGCCGAAGTCTGGTTATTATCATCAAACTCTTTTGTCTTTCGAAACAGTAATAAACACCATACTTTAAATATAATTGTGCACTTTGATAACGGAGGAAGGAGTACATTCATTCGTCCATTCTGATCCATTTTAATCGACGGGTTTTTTCCACGTTCAGAGTTTTAAATATTTATGATTTCTCCATTTGATTTGAATATTTCCAACATTCCGGTACGCATTATTGTTAATTTTCTATTAAATATTTGCGTTGGATGTTTCGTACAGAGAGTTAAATATGCCCAAGCAATCCTTCGCTTATCGGGAAGTAATCGATGACAATGTTTTAGAAAATTATTAAATGCTAAATAATTAGTTAATGCAAATGAATAATAAATAATCAATATGTTTTTACAAAACATATTATATTAGACTCTCTACCACTATCACCGTTTTGTGGACACGTCGTCATTTTCAAATTTTTATTCTAGGAGGAATCCTGACCGAACCACTGTGTCAGTTAGGGGCCAAAGTTACTGGCATAGATCCTAATACGAAACTGCTCAACATAGCCAAATCACGTGCGCTACAATTTAACCTAACCGACTTAGAATATTATTGCACAACTGTGGAAGAACACGCAGAAAAGCACTCTAATAAATATGACGTTGTGACATGTTTTGAAACTATAGAACATGTTAGAGAGCAAGACATTTTGACAAAATTTTGTGTGCAGTGTCTTAAACCAGGAGGTTCCATCTTTTTGACCACTAATAGCAAATCTTGGACTTCGAAACTGGTGTTTATTACTTTATTAGAAGATTTGCTACGATTTTTTCCAAGTGGAACACACCAATATGAAATGTTCATAGATATTAACGATTTAATAAATCTGTTAGAAAAAGGTTGGTATGTCTAACGCAGTGGTTCGCAAACTGGGTGCCGCGGCACACTGGGGTGCCGCGGAACCTTCAAGAGGGTGCCGTGAAAATTTTATAATGATTTTAATAAATATAAGCACAAAACCAACTTTAAAAAATAATAATTGATGATCTGATTTTATTAATATAGTACCACTGTTCAGTAATGGAAAATGTGTTCTGAACATGTTAATTTTCTTCATACTGAAGTAAGATGGCTATCTAAAGGCCGTGTTCTTTCTCGATTTTGGGAATTAAGAAAACAGATATAAACGTTTTTTGAATTAGAAAATATTGAACAATTTTTTGACCTCCTTCAAGACCACGTTTGGTGTACAAAACTAGCATATTTAACTAATATTTTTGAACACTTAAATAAAATATGTAAATTCAAGTATGCAAGGTAGAAATGGAAATATTTTAACCTCCAGTGAAAAAATTTTGGCTTTAAAAGACAAGCTTAAATTATGGAAAAAATATTTATAAAACAATCTTAACATCAATTACTTATTGTACAATCATGTGATAAAGTGTTTTTGATAATAAATTAGTTACAATTAAAACTGTTCCTGGAGGGGTGCCGCCTAATTTTGTTTAATATTTTAGGGTGCCATCAATAATAAAAGTTTGCGAACCACTGGTCTAACGACTAGTCACATGTGGTTTCTAATCTTGTGCTTTCATTGCAGAAAACTGCAAAGTTCTCTTCACGAAAGGAATGAGCTACAATCCCTTTTCAAGCAAATGGACCTTAGTGAAAAATGTGAATATTTTAAATTACGTTCTCCATGCTGTCAAATTTCGTAGTTAAAGTATGGATATTCTCGTAAATAATATATATTTTTGTTTCTGAATAAAGATTTTTAAATGAAAATTGGTCTTGTAGCATAAATTCACTCTTAATACCGGGGCGCTGCGCTAGTACCATTTCGAGGGCACTGCCGGTACAAAGTACTTAAAGTCACTAGACATATAGTAGACCAAAAGCTATAAGGTTATATGGCCTTCATAAAATCATCCCATTGTGTCGAAGTTAAGTTGTTTACAATAGAAAAGGTAGTTAAGTTTATTGCTTTAATAAACTTGTTTTTAAGAAGAACTTTTCTTTTATTCACAATTATTGTTATTACAGTTGATTATTAATTATTGGATTATTTTATATTAATTGATTTACAATTATTCACTTATTTCTACTTCACAATTATTCACTTAATTAATTACAACTTATTGGGAGAGTGCGATTATGACGGGCTTCTAATCTAAACTACGCGGATGACGGATGCTTCTAAACTTAAAAATGAATTATTCTGATGTCTTTTATAAGGAGGAAAACTGCAGAATTGAAGTTCTCATGTTGATATTGATGCAAGTGTGGAAGCGCATCTTGCACGTGGCAGGATATGGGTCTGCAGAATGATTGTCCATTGTGGACTTATGCTGATATCATGTAATGGGTTGGCTAGGGACAATTAATCTACACTTTGCACTACTGATGGTTTTTCTTTATTTTGTAGTTTTCCACAAATACAGCGACTGAATATCATTCGCGCGACGTTCTTAACGGCTCTAGTTTACATTTGGTTTTTCAAGTTTTTATAATACTTAGTTAATGAGGTGAAGGGAACAAGACGCCTAAAACTAACACATTTGACGATATTTTAATGAATACAAGGAAAATACCCAACACCTATAAGAAGAGAAAGGCAATAGTGTTTAATGGAAAAATATGACAAATTACGAGTACATTACAATCATAACAAGGTTTTAGGGTCGTAAATAACGTGTCCACTGCAGCTGTTTTGGTTTCGTTCAGGGGCGGCTTTCACTAAATATGTAAATCCACCACTCCACTATTTCTTTACTACCTGGAGCCGCTGAGGGTTCCGAAATAACCACTCGCTTTGAAAGCCGGCCCTGTTAAATGTGAGCAAGAAATGTTTAGAAGACGATTTATTGCCAAACGGTAAGCTTAGTGTGAACCACACAAAGGGGGTATTTATTCGCGGTCAACTACTTTTATGATGGTCATATAACCTTATAGCTTTTGGACTAGCATATCTATACGTATATCTAGGACTTTAGAAGTAGAGACTATTACTACTAATAGTTATAAAAGGGTTGCATTCGTTGTAGTAGATCGAAGTGTTGTGCTTGGCCTTAGCTGCCGCAAACTCTCGAGGCAGAGCTGCGATTAGCTGGGCTGACGCAACTTCAACTGCCGACCTCCGACTTAAGATTGTCCTTGGTAGGCCTTACGCAATCCACGTCGCTCCCTCTACGAATTGCACTTGCGATCACTGCCGCAATTACGCGGATTGACGCAATTCCTTCTACGGCAAGCCGATTGGACAGAGAACCGCAATTCCACTCCATCCGAGACGAAAGTATTAAGAGGCCTTACGGATTGTGCTTACGGACACTGCTGCGAGTATGCAGAAAGCTACTATTCCAATTCTCCTATGCCGAGACGAGTGCCCGGAGCCACTCACCTATCCCCTCTCCACGATACTACCATTGTTTAAGTATATATAATATATATATACTTAAACAATGATACTACAGATTGCGTTAATTAGCGTAATTCTATCCGTACCTACACGTTCATCAATCCCTACATTTTTTTAGGCTTGTACAACCCCTACAGCCTAAAGTTAGTTAGACACAGTGGCGGCTCCTCGGGGTGGGCAGGGTGGGCAATGCCCACCCTATTTGATTCTTTACGATAGGAAGTAAAATATTGATTTTTTTCTTTTTTAAATTATTTTTTTTGTATACACAAATATTTATAATAATAAACATCATTTAAGCCAACGGATTTTCTTCATTACATCCCGCAGTTTCCGCAACTGAGAAATTGCAGTTGCAAAAAAGTGCGTCAGATCTCGGCGTTATACGGTTCATGTGAGGATGGGCTAGTCCACCCTGGTCCACCCTCTTGATTGTAAGCAACAACATACGTTCGGTTTTCTATGTACGTGACTGAGAGTAAAGAATTCGAAACGCACGTCTTTGCATATCCGTGTTTTCTTGCTTCAAGCGGGGCACGACGCCCTGCCGATGCCGTCTCAATGTATAACTCGTACGCTGCGGGAGCGGACTTCGGATATTCGATTCAAGATTCAATAATTAATTTCGATTTTTCTGCTCATTTTGTTTGTAAAAGTATGTAAGTAATTATTTTTATTACTCTATTGAAATGTGGGTAAAGTGGTAAGCAAAATAATGATTATGCGAAAATTCTTGAATATTTTTTTTAATAAAAAATAGCAACACCGACATTAATAAATAATTTTTCATATCAAATGAAAATTCGTAATAACCATATTCGTTATTATGACACGGTGTTAACTTTATAATGAATTATAAATTAAAAAATTCGATTAATGAATGATGAGAATAAGTAATTGATTTATTATTGAAGTACGTATGTGACATAAATTTGTATGTTATTACATACGTATTTTTGTTTAATAAAGTAAATGCTTGCTTAACTGTAGCAGAGTCAACAAAAGTTAAATATACTTTTAATTTATTATTTAATCCGGACAGTCCACACAGTTTTGTTCCGCGCTCGTGCTAGGACGGGCGAAGCCACCCTGGAAAATCGGAAGTATTCGGCATGGTTCGTCGCAGACACGACTCTTCAGAATTCAGTTAAATGAGAAACTGCATTGTGCATTTAATTGTTATATAGTCTACTTCATTCAAATTAACGGTTAGGCGGTACCAAAGTAATTGTAAGTGTATTTTTTTCTAAAATGGCAAATCCAACTGCAGGCTGTGCGAGTACTATTAGAGAGGTGGTAAATGAAGGTAAAGACGTTGTGTTTTTTTTAATTAAAAATAAATTCAGTAGCATGGAACTTGATGACAAACTATTCGTTCATAAATTAAGACAGTGTCCCGAAATGAAAAATTTAATCATTACAAACTCTCGTGGCAGCAACAGAGGCTTTAATAAAAATTGGTATAATAAATATTATTGGCTGACCGGTAGCGAAACGACAAACAAATTATACTGTTGGAATTGTTTGTTATTTAACGAAAAATTACGAACCCCTTGGAATTCCACAGGCTATAGCGACATAAAACATATTGGTACCGCTTTACAGAAACATGATCAATCTGAAGAGCACAAATTCGCGTCGTTAAAATTAAAATTACTAGGAAAACGAAGTCAAACTATACAAAATTCTCTTAATTCGGCTTATCGTGAAAATATTTTAAAACAGAATGAGATAATTAAAGAAAATAGGGACATTATTAGACGTTTAATCGACATGATAATTTTCTTGGGTACACAGGAACAAGCATTACGGGGACATGACGAATCACAAAATTCTCTTAATCAAGGGAATTTCAAAGAGTTGGCAAATTTATTATCAAAATTTGATGATAAATTTAAAAAATTTTTGGATGAGTCTTCAGTATTTAGCGGTTTGTCTAAAACCATTCAAAATGATTTAATTGGCAGTATCAACAAAATTATATCACAAATAATATCAGCAGAAATTAAACAATCACCTTGCTTCTCCTGGCAGGTCGATGAAACCACTGACATCCAGTGTTTATCGCAATTATCCGTAATTTTTAGATACGTAACAAACGGTAAAATTGTAGAACGTTTTATGGGATTTTTCAATGTAAGTGAAGGACGCAGGGCTAATGATTTATTTCAAATGTTGACAAATACATTTCAGGATTTTGATCTTGCAAATAAGTTAATAGGACAAACGTATGATGGAGCATCTGTTATGTCAGGGGAACTGAATGGTTTACAATCAAAAATAAAAAATGTTGCTCCTCAAGCACTTTTTATACATTGTTATGCCCACAGAATGAATTTAATTTTACAAGACTCTGCCAGTAAAATAAAGGAATGTCGAATTTTTTTTGCTAATGTGAACGGTTTGTCAGCTTTTTTTTCAAAATCTACTAAACGTACCAAAGTTTTGGACGAAGTGGGTACCGCACGAATACCTAGTGGTTCAGATACGCGATGGAATTACAAATCTCGCACAATTAATGTAATTATTAATGAAAGATCCGAATTGTTGGAAGTATTTGAATATATTTTAAATAGCGATGAGTTTTCTAGAGATCAGGAGTCTATCAGAGCGGCAGTTGGATTCAAAAACATGTTAGAAGATTTCACATTTTTATTTTTATTAAACACATTTTACATTATTTTTGAACAAACCGATGCCATTTTCAATATCTTCCAGTCTAAATTCTCGGATGTGAACTACTGCAAAAATAGAATACAAAATCTTTTGGCGACATTAAAAAACTTTAGAGAGGAAGATAACTATTTTCAAAAAATATATAATGATGTATGTAACGTTGTTGGAGGACCAATAAAAAAACGCAGGATAGACCACGATTCAACAACTTATTTTAGGAGACTATATAAGGAAATATTAGATTTAATTATGAATCAGATTGATATTAGATTTAAAGATTTAGAGTTTTTAGCTTTTTTGGACTTACTAGATAAAAGTAAATTTACTTTATTTAAAAAGAAGTTTCCTCACGATTTATTAGATTTGTTATTAAAGACTTATCCAAAATTATTCATAAAGAATATATTACAAAATGAACTACAGGTCTGGTATTCCGATCCAGACATATTTGGTAATTCATCTAATTATTCAGACATTACAGAATTTATTTACACAAATGAGTTACAAAGTGATGTTCCAGAAATTTATAAATTATTATGCGTTGCATTATCATTACCAGCTAGTTCTGCGTCGGTGGAAAGGAGCTTTTCTACTCTTAAGCGCATCAAAACATTCAGTAGAAACTCTATGGATCAGTCTCGATTAAGTAATTTGGCAACAATCGCTATTGAAAGGGGTTTAGTAAAATATT